ACATGTACTAATAAAAAAATGAATAAACAAAAAATTCAGAATAAAAAACAGTCAATTTCCCAAGTGGAATCAACAATCTTAAATATATGCTTACCTAATAACTATGTTTAGTATAGTCCTTGGAACAGGATTTCAAGCACATTAAACAGGTATTTTTAATGCAAGGCTAACTCCACACTATGAAATCCATTAATGGAATTTGCTAGGTAAATAGATCAAAGGAAGAAAAACTGAAGACATGTAAATATGGGCAAAAAATTCATTTTCTAAAATTCAATAACCACTTTTGTTAACAACAAGTAAACAGTAAATCTCAGTAAGCCAGCAGTAAAAAGGAAACTTCTTAACTGAATAGAGATTAGCATAAACCAAGAGCAAATATTATATTAATGTAAAAAACTGGCAACATTTCTACTAACCTAAAAATAAGAGATTTCCTCCTAGCATTGCTGTTGTTTAACCTTGCAAGGGAGGGTCTGACTGTAAACAATGCAATAAGGCACAAAAGAATAACATAACATAAATATTATAAAAGAAAACAAAGGCACACATATTTGACAAAGATTGACTTGAAAAATCCAAGAAATTACCTGAAAAATTATTAAAAAATCAATAGAGTGTTTAGTGTAATGGTAAAGCACAAAATTAGTGCAGGAAAATTCAGTGCTTTCCTATATATTATCAGCAGCATAATAAAGAATGAACCAGAGAAAAGAGAATCAATGTAATAACAATAAAAAGGAAAACTGCACAGCAAAATATAAGATTCATATGCTGAAAGCTATAAAATGCAAGAGAAAGAAAAAAAGAAAGTCAATAAATGCAGATATGTATAGCCCCTTCCTAAATTGAACAATCATTTTGAGATATCAATTCTTCCCAGGGGAATTTAGAAATGTAGTACAATACTTATCCTGTCTTATGGAACATAATAATCTGATTCTATATGTCAAATGGTAGAGAAAAAATAGTAGACTGGAGAATCTGAGAAAAAAATAAGAAAACTTCTGTTTCAGAATTTAAACCATGTTTGAAAATATCATTGAAGGTGGAGGGATTTCAGGTGCAGGCAGCGATACTGATTAATAAGGCCGGATAGAATGTAATATATACCTTGGGATGCAGCGCAGTAGTTAAGAGCTTGACTCTCTAGCTAGGCTACATAGTAGCTGTGTATACTCCTAGGAAGTTACTTAAACTCTTAGTTTCCTTATCTGTGAAAGAGAGGTCATTATATCCCCTACATCTTCTTTTCATAAACATTAAGTAGGTCAGTCGTTGTGCAGAACACAGAAAGTACATGGAGTAAGATCAGAGCTATGTAAGTGCCAGCTGCTCTTAATGATAAGGGTGGTAAATCAGTTGCAAGATGATATGTTACTTTTCTAATTAGGGTGAAAATTGATTAACCATTTTGAGAAACAATAGAGGTGAATGGTTGAAATACAGTTAGACATATATGTAATCAAAGGTGATATTAAATATTTAAATTAAAAAATTTACTATAGTAAAAAGAACATTGTCATTAATCCCCCCTCAGAATACTTCTTCATTTTGGACATATTTACGCCATTGTTCTTGCCACCTTCTGAAGCAGTCAGGGCCTTAGTTGTGCTGTTGTGGCTGCATCAGTGGCCGAGTCAATTCGAAATGTTCACCTTTCACCGTCACTTTAATTTTGCGGAAGAGTCAGAAGTTGCACAGTGCCAGATCTGGTGAATAAGGTGGATGGGGACACACCATAGGATTTTCATTTGACAGAGACTGTCATAAATATTTGATTGATGAGTTATCATAAAATATGTTACGTGATTCAAATAAAAATTTAGTACAGTAAAAACAAATTGCCACTAATCCCCTTCAAAAGACTCAAAATACTGCCCCTCTTTAAGCACAGAAATACCATTGTTCTTGGCAATGTGTCTTTTACTGTAACACTTATATTTTAATTTAAACACTCATGCTATTTTCAGTCATTCCTTGTAACTTAAATCATACCCAAAGAACTAAACAAAAAACTATTAAAATATATCTATAAGGTGGGAGTGAAGAAAACCCATCTGAGGAAGATACAAAATATTAGAGCCCAAAAGGCAAATGATCACCTATTTAAGCAATAAAAACTTCTGCTTGCAAAGACATAATAAACATCAATAGACAATCAACAGCCTGAAAGCATATTTCCCCCATATTAGCAAAAGATTAATATCAATACGAATCAATAGGAAAAAGATAAACACTTTAATAGAAGGATGAGCAATAATATTGAAAAGCAATATATAGTAAAAGAAACATAAACTGGGTGCAGTGGTGCACAACTGTAATCCCAGCACTGGGGAGGCTGAGGCAGGAGGATTGCCATGAGTTCAAGGCCAGCCTAAGCTACATAGTGAGACTGAGAGAGAGAAAGAGAGATGTGAGAGAGAGAGAGAGAGAGAGAGAGAGAGAGAGAGAGAGATGTTCAGTAAACCCTATAAATATAATCAACCTCATTGATAATGTAAATAGGTATGCTAACACATTAATGAATTTTCACCCATCAAACTAAAAAATATACAAAATCTTGACAACCCAGGGTTGATAAAGATGCGGCCCATGGGCACATTGATACCCTGTGGTAAGGGAGAAAGTGTGAAGTTTCAAAATACCATGGACTCCAGAAATTCACAGGGGTTGCATCCCTAGAGCACCTGCAAACTGAAAAACTGAATTTCAAATATAGTAAAAAATGCCTATCCGGGCCTATTTTTATAGTTTAAACCCTAAATATGCTATGTCTTCCACAGTTATGTAATTTAACTTAATGAAATACTGTGCTAATAAAGCCTTAGCGGGTGCAAGGTGTTTTGGCGGCTTTAAGAAGAACTAAACTAAGAACACTGGAGATAGTACCTGTTATGATGCAGGAACGCAGGGACATCTGCCAGAAATGGGTCACAGGGCAGCAGCCAATCCACAGCAAGGAGAACTGAATAACACTCTGGGATTGGCTTCTTGCCCGCTTCCCACCACAAAAACAATTGGGGAGTATGTCTGTAGATTCCCTGAAGTCTCAGGGGATTCTGAGAACAATTACTAGGCTCTAAAGAAAGATCCACCAATGACTGAGGCCCAAACTCCGAACTGTGACTTCACAGGGGGTATGCTATGCTTCTGTCACTTGTTATTTTACATGGGCATACACGCACATACACACACACATTGTGTTTACACAGAAATATGTGAGAATGTGGAAAAATTACTGAAAAGATAGGGCTAAACAGTTAACCCCGAAGGGCAGGGAGGGAGAGAAGAGGTAGACTCTCAAACTTTTATTTGTCACTCTTAGGTATAGTTTTAACTTTTTATAGTGAAGGTCCACTCATGCTTTTCGTGTATAGCAAAGGTCAGAGAAACATAATGATGTGTGTTTTGGACGTTAAAAAACGGTACGAGGTAGATTGTTTCCTTGGCAATTGTTCTTAATGTCACAGCTAACTCCTATGACTTTAAAACTGTTGCAGAGCCAGGACACGCAATATTATAATTTATTTAATATGGTTAACAGAATCCCCAAACCGAATCTGACAAAAATAGCACATAACTAAGCTGGGATTTATACTCATAAGCACAGATGCAAACATTTAAAAGAAAGTATTAGAAAGCCCATGTAATAGTGAAGTAATATGCAAAGCTTATTTAATAGTATGACAATTATTAATGCTGTCATAGGTTAAGAGACAAAACACCTGGCCATCTAAAGGTGACTTTTCTAACCTTGATCCATTCATTTGAAGCATTTATGTTAAGTTGGTGATTATTTGCAGTTCTGTATAAAACCAAACACTAATATGATAAGGTATTAGGAGAGAAATTCTAGATATAAGAAAAATAGTTATTTAAGTTTCTATTTGATATCAATAGAAAATAATTTCATGCTGAGGAAAACCAGGAGTATTAACTTTCCAAATGAGAGCAATACAACAAATTATTCCCGTTATTAAAGCTGTATTCAACATGTGCTACCTGATGTGATAAAATAAGAGAAAGAAATGAGTCACATATTGGAAAGGAAAATCACAATATGCAATTACAATTATTTATACGTGTATGTGATTGTCTATTTGGAAAATTGAAGATAGTCAGTTGAAAAAGTATTAGGAGATAAGCATTCAGTAAGGCAGCAAGTTACAAGGGCTTTCCTGTGCAACATTCAGTTATATAACTGGAAAAGATGCCATCATAATTGCAAAAGACGTGTCTAGGCATTAGCAATAGGAAATGCACAGGACTTATAACAAGAAAATGATAGAACTCTGTTTGAGGATAGAAAAGAAGTGTAACCATGTTTCCAGAGGGATAATCTCAGGATTATACAGATGTTAATTCCCTAAATTATATTTTTATAAACACAATACAATTCTAATAAAATAGTAGTGTAATTTGGAGGAGGATTTAAAATCGATTCTTAAATTTTTAATTCTTAGAATTTTTCATTAACTGCTAATAATCATGCATCTTGCTGGGGCGCAGTGTGATATTTCATACATTTATACATTGTGTTTTGATAATTCAGGATACTTGGGTTATCTACCATCTCAAACATCTATCACTCCTTGCTGACAAGAACAAAACTTTATTTTTATCAAAATTATACACATTCAGTTTAATGATGCTGAGTTCTGCTAGCTTAGAACAGCAGTCCTCAGCTTTACTCCTTCCAGCCTCTGATTCCCACTCCCCAAGTCAATAATTTGCAGTGATTTAATGGTTTTTACTGGTGTCTGCATCTCTATTTTTAGACAAGTGGATTTTTTAGCTACTTTTTTTCATGGTACTGGAGATTGAAATATAGACCAAGTTACATCTCCTATTTTATTTTATTTTAATTTATTTTATTTTATTTCTGAAACTCCTTAAGTTGCTAAATTGCCCAGGCTGTCCTCAAACTTTCCCTTTGCTGATGCTGGATTCCACTGTGGTGCTGAGTTCAGGTCTTCGTCCTGCACTTTCTCTCACAGATTCCTGGGACAGCCCCAGAACTGGCCTCTGAGGAAAATGCTTCTGCAATTGCCCCACCATGCCCTGGAGAGAACCGCTGTCATTCCGCCTCTTCCACCTCCGAGGCAGCCTTGGCGCCGCTAGGAACTGTGCTGTCATCCCTCGCTCACTGAAGCCCAGCAGCCTTTGCACCTGCGCATCAGAAATTCCACCTGGCAGCTTATTTAAAAATTGATCCATAAATACATATTTACAAGTTATGTTTCTAAATGTTAAGATGTTAATGTTAAGAAAACCTCCTCCATTCTTTTTCCACACGTCAGAATACTTTGAGGTCAATCAGATGGTGTCCAAATGGATTCTAAGTTAGTGAGCACAACCAACCTAGTGTGAAAAATCTATTTTAAATCTTAACACACATAGTTAAAAAACAACATTGCAACAAGGACTTTCTACTTTGACCAAAACTTTAGTCAGGCTTCTCTGAATTTTCTGCTTGATTAAGTCTGTCTTTGGGATTCCTTCCCCGTCCTTACAGAAAGCTGTCTGAGCAAGAATCCTGCTGAGACATTTTACAGAAGATCCTCCACACCTGCTGTCCCTCTCATCTTCTTCCGGCAATAATTCCATTAAACTGATTTAACCGGAACCCCTTATCTGGATTTTTCAACATATCCATTCTGCTCATATGTAATAAATCCCACTTGTCCTTGTTGCAGTCAGAGTTGCGTCCCAGTCCACTCTCTTGCTGCACTGCCCTATGCAAGATATTGGCTTGGCTGCCTCCCCTTTCAGAAAAGTCCACCCTACTGTCTTTCACCATCATCATGAATGAGCTTTTCTTTAATAATAGTAACCTATAATGTATGAGCTAATTACAAGGTTGTAAGTCAACAGTTCTGTACAAATATGAAAAACAACTCTAACTCTTCACATACAAGAAGAAAGCTTTGTCACTGGAAACAAACCTAGGAAGACATTTGAACTTTTTGTGACAAAATATAGAATAAATATAATTTCATTTTAATTTTTTTGTGATAGATACAAACATAATAGCTAAATATTACTTATCTATCTATAAAGTTATAAAAGCATGGGAACTACACTAATTTTTTTCACTTTTATTTAATTAAAAAGTTAGAACCATTTCTATGACTCCAGTAACATTTTCTAGCCAGTATTCAACTGAAGAACATCTTTAACATAGTGATGAAATATACGCATGACATTATTTTCTGAAAGTTGATGGGCATAGATTTCTTAATGGAAGTTTGATGACAGGACTCAGATCTAGACCCATCAATCTGATAATCAGTTTTACTTTTCCAATTCTGTGCAATATTCTTGGTTTCATAGCCAACTCTCTGCCTTCTGGAATGAAAACACAGAGAACCTCCCTTATTCTCAGAATTGAGACATCTGTGTTAACTTCAGTCTCTCCCTGGAGAACGTGGGATTTGTTTTAAAGTGCTATAACACACACATGAGGAAAGTGACAGTAGGGGATTACATGATGATTATTGTTTCATGCACTGTGCTACTTCAATTCTAAAACATTAATTAAGGAAGATAGTTGTTAAATACTTTCATGTTTCAGGTTAAACTAACTTTGAGTTGAGTATTATGCATCAGTAGTTATTTAAAATTTGTTCTTTACAATAGTTTCAGGACAATATAACTTCAGAAGACATGTAAGGCAAAAGCATAGATGGTGGGACAGAATTTATGAGCACTGCTGTAAGTTTTTCTTACCTAGTGCTCTGGTTTGAATGCCTGTCTACTCCAAAACGTACTTCAAAATTTAACTACCATTGAGAGGTGCAAGCTTTAGAAATTGTGTCAGTCACCAAAGCTCTACCCTCATGAGTCGATTAGTGTTAAGAAGGAAATGGTTCAGCCCCTCTTGCTCTTTCTTCCTCATCTTCTTAAAAGATACTAGCACTTTCATCTTAGATTTCCCAGCTTCAAAACTCTGAGCAACAAACTTATCCAGTGATATTTGGTTATGGCAGCACAGAATGGACTAAGAGAAGTTATACACCCACTTTTTAATGAAGAAGACAATGGCGGCTAAGGGATGTGAGAGTGGCTGATGGGCCAGTTCTACAAGGAAACCTCATAATCAGATGCATCAGTCAGTGCTCACTAGAGAAACAGATATAAGATACACAGATATATAAGGATTTACAAGGTAGGCTTACAACAGCTGCCTGCAGAGCGAGGTATGGGAGAGTGTAAAGGGCTGTTTGCACACTGGAGGTCCAAAGGATCCAGTCAAAGGTCAAAGGCCTGGAGCTCACTGAAGTGTCCCATGTGAGTCCATCAGGAGGCTGAAGGGTCTGATCTAGAAGCCAGGAAAGGACATCCAATGTGAAGGAGAAGACAAGAGCTTCTCCAAAGAAGCAGAAGCAGCTGTTTTTCTTCATTCCCCTTTCATGCTTTTCAAGTGATGAGCCTGTTTTTGGTGCCATTCACACCCAGGCTGGGTCTTCTATCTTCAGTACAACCCAAAATGTTGCTGATCCAATTAGCTTGGGGTGTTTCCTACTCCAGCTGACACAATCAGTTAAGTGTCATGCCAGGACTGTAATACCCAGAATGACACAAGTTCTGTCGGGTAAGATGGTCTGAGCTTGAAGTCTGAGCAATTCTACATGAGAACACAGAGCAGAGAAGAATGTAGTGAGGCTGAATGTGACTCCCCATCGGGGCAGAATTGGTAAACACGGGGCAGAGTCGGGTTACTCAAAATAACCAGGGCTCCTCTACCACCTGCTGAGGAAAGAAAGGGCTCTATATAATTGAGATGTATACTTTTAGGACTTTAATTTTCTCAATGCTTAACTTCATTTATTTTCTATGATACAATAATCTCTATCTTAAGCTTCCATTCTATTTTATAACAGAATGTTAAGTGAGTCAGTTCATCATATGTCCAAGTTCTGAGGGATCAGGGTAGGGGTCTTAACTTGGCTTGAGGTGTCAAGTGGGGACAGTGTAGCTCCAAGACACCATCCATCCTGTATGCATTTGCCGTGTCACATGCACCATTTGGATCCTGATCATTACACACAATCAGCTGTGGTGTCCACCTTCCTACAAGGTCTCTGCATTCTACGCCTTCTACTACTGTATCCCCTCATAGTGGCTGTGAAACCCCTTCAAGTTCAGCCCTCTCAGCTAAATTTCTCAGCCTTCAAGAGTGACTCTTGTCACTTTAGGATATCTCGTGTCACCCTGGAGCTGTGAAACTTAGTAATTGTCTCAACTGCTCTCTGCCTTGAGGGCGTGTCAAACCAGTAATGGCTCAAAGTATTATCTCCAACTGCCTTAAGGCCAATTACTAAGTTATATAAAAAGTGAGGCGATGAGCTGGCTTCAGGCTGTGTTGACCCAAGTGACAGTTCAACAATGCACTTAAAGATGTTCTCTCTGCCTCTGTACTGTCCTTCTAAAGCAAGATCCTGTTTGGGCTGTGTAATACCTGTCAGCAGAAGTTAGAGATTTCTCTCTACAAGTAATCGGTTTTTCATTATTCTTAAGAATGAACAAGGTTGCTCCCATGAGTCTTTGGTAAATCCCTCTTTTTCCGTTAGAATGAACTGGACCATGAGTCTACTTCTGAACCAATTTTCAGTGGAGAAATGAGATTACCCTTGGACCCAAACCAGGCTGAACTCTGAAGCCGTGAGTAGAATCACTGTCTCCTGAGGTACCTGGCTGCTCGGGAGAGAGATGAGTGCCTGAATAAAGAATGAACGTGTTAGGCAGAGAACAAGGAAGGTGGATGCTCTCTAGGCAATGATGTCTGTCAGAATCTAGTTAGGAAGATGAACAACTCTAGGGATTTCATCAGAGTGGGTTATAGCACTGGGAATTAACCCACAAAATCATCAGAGAGAACGAGAGAGCAAAGAAGGAGTAAGGTGATGTCAGTCCTAGCTCAGGAACCGTTGAAAACTATGGCAGCTGCTGCGGGAACAGCCTATTCAGTCCTGAACTCCTCCAGGTCCGTGCTGTCTCCCCTTGTGGGGCCAGGGCACCTCCCACAAGGGCACACTGCTGCCATAGTCAAAGCTAAAGAGCATGGCTCTGACTTCCTTCTTCCCTTTAATCTTTTTCCTCTGTGGTACTTGGGGCTGAACCTAAGACCTTCACCCTCAGTTATTTCCTCAGCCATACCTTTATTTTTATTTTGAGACAGTATTTCACTAAGTCACTAAACTGCCTAGGCTGAGCTCAAAATTGTGATCTTTCTGTCTCAGCCTCACAGGGTACCAGGATTACAGACATGCAGCAACACACATGGCCCTTCCCTTTAATCTTTTTTTTTAAATAGAAATATTGAGAAATAATTTATATTTACCCATTTAAATTATATAATGCAATGCCTTTAATATATTCACAGAGTTGTGATTCCACCACGAGCATAAGTTTTAGAACATTTTCATTACCTCAAAAAGGACTTTCTGCGTAGATATCAGCTTTCTTTTACGCACTTTTTCCCCAGACTTGGACAACCATTAATCTACTTTTAATTTCTATAAATTTGCTAATTCTGGATATCTTGTAGAGAGAGAATCTTATCATAGTGGTCCTTTATAATTGGGTTCTTTCACTTAGAACATTGTTCTAAGCACTGTGGTTGATTCATGTTGGAGTATATGTCAGCACTTTGATTTTATTGCCAAATAATATTCCATTCTATTGATGTACTGCATTTTTTATTAGCTAAAAGACATTTGTTTGCTAAAAGATATTTGAGTTGATTCTGCCTTTTGGCTACTGTGAATAATACTGCACTGTTGTGGATGTACAAGTTTTTATGTGAGAATATGAATATATATGATAATATACCATATATATAATATATATATGTGATATACCATATATATGAGATATATATATATATATATAGTCAGAAGTGGAACTATATATATATATATATATACACATATATATATGGTCAGAAGTGGAATTGCTGAGTGATGTGATGACTATGTTTAGGCTTTTGAAGAACTGCTAAACTGATTTTTAAAGCAGCTGCAATACTTTACATTTCTACCAGCAATGTAATTTCTCCATATTTTCACCAATGCTTGTTATTTCTTATTGAAAATATTGTCATTATGGTAGCTTTTAGTGAGTAAGAACTGGTATCTCATGATTTTGATTTTGATTTCCCTCATGGCTAATGAGATTGAACATTTTTTTTCAGGTTGAGCATTTTTTTGTGTGTTTGTTGGTCTTTTGTATGGTATCTTCTTTGGAGAAGTATGGTATCTTCAGAAGCTTTCCTCATTTCTTAATTGGTTAGTTAACGAGGTCATAGATCCACTTTGAAATAATTTTTTGTACATGGTGTGAGGGAGAACTTCAACTTCATTCCTTTGCATGTGGCTGTCCCGTGACCCAGTTTTTTTCCTTTAATCTTGTGAAAATCCTTTTTATTAGCAGGTCCTGAACTGAAATCTAGAAAACAAGGGATGCAAGGAAATGTACATCTAGTTTTCTAGTCCCTTTGATCCAAGGCAAAGATCTGAAGGGTAGGAACCAACACACAGTATCCAGCACACAACTAACATAAACATCAGACCTCTGTGGGAGTATGCTACTTCTTGGATGCCTGGACAGAAAGTAGGCCACAAGTCTCCTTTCATTCAAACATTCTAAACCTATTAAGGACCAGATCTTGGAAGGGAATAGGATTTAGGGCCCACTCATTTTATTCTGTTTTTCTCGTCTCTGACCTTTCCACTGCCTGGTGCAGGGTATTCTAAAATTGAGTCTAAAAAACTATCATATATCTTTCCAGATATTCTTGTTTTACATGTTTTTCTACTGCTTTCCTCTCTAAATATCAAACCTTTAGGTAAATCTGCTTGAACTGAGAAGGAGAGCCTTGATGGAGATGAGGAAACTGCATTAATTAATGCTTTAAAGTTTCACCCTGCCATAGATGTGTGGAAATAGAGATGAGGTGGTG